TGTGCCGGATCATGTAACACCTTTCCATATTCCACGTCTTGTGCCACACTCCTTCTAACACGCGGTGGGGCTTTCTCCTCCAAGATATACAGTTTATCAAGTGGAGTGGGGCACAGACATCCAGTGATGATGTGACATGTATCACTAAGCGCCCTATCCACATGTATAGAGTGTGCAGACTGGCCCCAAACAGGGCAGGCATACTCTGCTGCCGAGTAACACAAGGCAAGGGCAGCCATTCGTAAATAATGGGATGGGCAGCCCAGATAGTTCCAGCCAACTTTCTGAGGAGATTATTAGGGGTGGAGATCTTTTGCTTTAAATTGCAACAGTGTCTTTTAAAAGTTAATGTTCGGTCCAATGTAACAATGTAATGTGTTATCAGTAACTTTTTGTTCCTTTTTCTTGCGTAACCACTCAGAAACATTTATCTTTTCATAAGTCTTCCTTCCATCTCAGTTATTTGTGTTCTGATTATTTTTTCTTCCAAGTCAGATTCTTCACTATTAATATTCTATAGTATTAAATTATTTTAATTTACTAAAGAAATTAACTTTCAGTTTTATGCAATTTTGATAAAGTACAATAGATATCTAAGGCTCACAAAGAGTTTAAAATGGCTTTCTTTTGAAGCAAATTGTGAATGATTTGCTGCTGTTTGTATGTTTTGACCACAATATGAATATTCATAGAAATAATTTTATTAAACTTTTTTTTTTAATGTAGGTCTTGATGTTAAAAGTGAGGCATGTCAGCGATTTTTTCGAGATGGGTTAACAATTTCTTTCACAAAAATCCTTACGGATGAGGCAGTGAGTGGCTGGAAATTTGAAATTCATGTAAGTTGGTGATAGCTACTCATTTATATAAATGTATTATGAGCAAATTGTGCTAAAAAAAGTGACTTAATCGCCCAAACCCCTTGGCTTTCTAAGCCAATGATTCCCAAACCTTTTGAATAAGGGAAACACTTTTTAATGTTAAAAATGTTTTCAGTCTTCCGCATGATAGCAGTTGTATTTTTATTATCTGGCATGTCCCCAGGGGTTGAAGTTGAGGGATGTCAGCAGGAGAAGGGAAATATAAGGTGGGGTATAACATGCACAGGGAGTCATGGTAGGGTAGCTGGGTAGCTCTGTGAAAGGCAGGGAGAACAGAATAGGAGCTTGTATAGAGCAGCTATGCTGGAATGAGGGCATTTATAGGAAACTTACAGGATAGGCAGGCACAGTGCAGGATCCTGTCCCAGAATAAATGCATATACACACAAAGGAATTTAGTTGCAGGCTTTATTTTAAATCAGTGCTTCCCAAACTTTTTCCTTCATTACCCAAACTCAAGGGAGGAGGAGGAAGATGGTGGGTGCATGCATGTAAACGAAAGGGGGAAAGAGGGTGCAGTGCATGCAAGTGAGCAAAGGGGAATGAGGCAGCAGTGTGTACAAGTGAAGAAAGGCCAGGTGGGTGGGGAAGACTTACCCGAGCAGCTTGTAACCTCCCCTGCCAGATTCTCCATTTTTTATTTATGTTTTATTTTTTTTTATTACAAAAAGGAGGGGAAAAAAACCCAAAGGTGGTTTAATAAAAAAGTGAAAAAGTACAACAGAGAAAAAGGGTTAATTATAACAATAACCAATTTCGATTCTATATATTCTTATCTAATACAAATATTATTCAAATATATGTATATATCTAATAGATATATATGATTGTCATTTTTTTTTCTTTTTAACCTACTGTATTTTGTATAAATGAGCCCCATATTTCATTATACTTGTGCATACAAAGTCTTTGTCTACAGGCAGTCCACTCATAAGTGACAAGTGCAATCAGGTCTTTAATCCATTGAATAAATGGGGCCATGCATATATATCTCCAATGCTTCACTATCAGTCTTTTGGCAATAGTAAGGGCACAAAGAATCCATTTACATCATCCAAATGTCAAATTCCATGTACAAGGTATATAGTTCAAAAGAATATTATCCTCTGAAAATTTTAGTTTTTGTCGCACAATCATATTTATATAGTCCACTACTTTCTCCCAAAACTTATTAAGTATAGGACATTGTAAAAACATATGCTTTAAAGAGGCATTGTCTTTATTACATCTCCAACAAAATGCTGATTTTTACAATCCTTTTTTATACAGACGTCGTGGAGTCCAACAAATTCTAAATATTACTTTTTGTTGTATAAGTTGTAGTTTAAGGTCTATTGATGCTCTTGCTATAGAAGTTAAGACACTACCCCATTGTCTAGGCAATATAGAAACCTCTAATTCTTTATTCCATTATCTCTTAACATCTGCATATCAAATTGATTTATTGATAACAAATATCTATGCAAACTAATAGTAGGTTTTTTAGTTTTAAAGGATTTAACAAGTTCTAATATCTCAGGTGTCTCAGAAGCTGAAAATGCTCCTAGTCCAAGCAATGTTATTAACAAATGTAGCTGTAAATATTGCCATTGGGTTACATCTGATAGATGATATTTATCTCTTAAGAGTACATTAAAAATTTGTTAAGAGATAATGGAATAAAGAATTAGAGGTTTCTATATTGCCTAGACAATGGGGGATTTATTGATAACAAATATCTATGCAAACTAATAGTAGGTTTTTTAGTTTTAAAGGATTTAACAAGTTCTAATATCTCAGGTGTCTCAGAAGCTGAAAATGCTCCTAGTCCAAGCAATGTTATTAACAAATGTAGCTGTAAATATTGCCATTGGGTTACATCTGATAGATGATATTTATCTCTTAAGAGTACATTAAAAATTCATCTTCATAATCTATCAGTTGGTCCAAAGTCAATATCCCTGCTTCCATCCAATATTTTTCCCAATTTTTAAAGTTGGGTTTCCCCATAAGATTAATTTGGCATGGGAAAAAGAGTCAAATAGTTTGTTAGACATTATGTTCCATAACTTTCTGACAAAATTGTTTCCAGAGATATTAGAGTTATAGTATATTTAGATCCAAATACTGTCCATCCGACCAAAGGTGTTATATATGTATATTCCAAAGTTGCCCAGATTGGAAAATTAACACGACTTGTTGGCTTCCAGTATTTAATACTTGATAATCGGTAAGCGTGATGATATAGCTCCAGATTCAGAAGACTGAATCCTCCCTCATTAATTGATAATTGCATTTTCTGTAAAGATATTCTTGGAATTGAAGAATCCCATAGAAATTTTCTAAACTAAGAATTTATTTTCTGAAAACATTTTCCAGATATAAAAACTGGAATTCCTCTCAGACTATAAATTAATCTGGGAATAAAGTTTATTTTTGAGAGCGTTCATCTTTCCCCAAAGGGTAAGATTTAATGACTCCCATCTATCAATAGCTGAAGAAACCTCTCTATATATTTTATTTATGTTACATGTTGCTGAGTTACATCCTTTGGTATACACATACCTAAATATTTAATAGATTCCAGACAAATACAGAATTGATATTCTTTAAAGGAATGGGTAGCCAGATTTTCACCTTTTGGCATCAATTCCAATTTGGACCAGTTAATAGAATATCCTGCTATTTTACTAAAGGCATCTATCCTTTGCATCAACACTGGAATAGTAGCATGAGGTTTAGAAATAAAAGAACATCATCTGCAAATAAAACCAATTTGTGTTCAACTGAATTGTGTACTACTCTGTAGATCTCCCTGTGTTGTCTAATAGCTCAAGCCAAGAGTTCCATGAAAATGTTAAAAAGCAAGGGTGAAAGTGGACATCCTTGTCTAGTTTCTCTAAATAGTGGAAAAGTAGGAGATAACATACCATTAACCTTTACTTTAGACCTGGGTGACTCATATAATATCTTAATCCATTTTATACATTCCAAAGGAAATCCAAAGCTATTTAGTATGGCAAACATATATTGTTTATGTATTTTGTCAAAGGCTTTTTCAGCATCTAATAATAAAATTACAAATTGATCTTTGTTTTTATTTAAGTCTATTAAACCTACAACTAACCTAATATTGTCTGCTGCCTGCCTAGTTTTTATAAACCGTGCATGATCATTCTTAATAATGAACGATATCACTTGCTGTAATCTATTTGCCAATACTGCTGTTGAAATCTTTGTATCGATATTAATGAGATTGGACAATAATTACACTGAGTATGATCATTTCCTGCTTTTGGTATAACTGTAATATAAGCCTGATTAAATGCCAGTGATAAAATTCCCTTATCAAATATCTCTTCATATACTTGACAAAGTTTTGGCACCAAAAGATCTATAAATGTTTTGTACTACTCAATAGGGAATTCGTCTAATCCTGATGTTTTATCACTTGCCATTTTTAAAAGTATTTGTTTAATCTCTAGCTGAGATAGTGGAGCAAATAAGAGTTGATTTTGTGTATTATTTAAATGTGGCAGGTTAGTTTTATTTTTAAAAGGCCTCTATATCTTCATCCGATACATCTTCTGGTTTACTATAAAATTCTGAATAAAATTTTAAAAATTGACAATTAATATCTATTGAAGTTTTATACATTTCATCTCTTTCAGCTCTAATGACTGGAATCATTGCCCTATGTTCTGTTTTTTGGGTTTTTGTTTTTGTTTTGCTTTACACAATTAGCTGAGATCTTACTGGATCTTCCACTGTTCTACCAGTATCTCTGTTGTAAACATGTTAGCATAAATTCTGTCTGCTACGATATTATAGTAGTTAATTCATATTTCTTCTTCTGTATTTCTCTA